CAGTCCACAGGGTCACAAAGGGTCGGACACAACTGAAGCAACTTAGCATGCATGCACATGATGTGACCTCATTTACATGTAATGTCCGGAATAGGCAAATCTGCAAAGACTTGAATAGATTAGTTGTTGCCTCCAGCTGGCAGGGGATGGAAGAGAGTTGGGGCAGGGGTCACCAGTCATGAGAATAAAATTTCTTGTGGGCATGATGAAAATGCTTCAAAATTAGATTATGGCATGGTTGCACAACTCTATACTAAAATCCATTGAATTGTGCACTTAAATGGGTGAACTATATAGTATATAAGTTATATCTCAGGCTGTTAAAAAAAAAAGTTAGGGGTGGGCCTGGCACAGAAAACAGAATTAGAGAAGACAGGACATATAGTGGGAGCATTGAAGGCAGTTTTCCACCGTCCCTGACAAGGTGACTTCTAGAAAGTTGAACCTCTTTCCATTTAGTCCAGCTTCCTCTAAATCATAAAGTGTATCTTACAGCAGAGGGCATCCAATGACTGACATTTTTCAAGAATTCCAATCCTGGGACTTCCCTGGTGGTTGAGTGGTTCAGACTGTGCTTCCACTACAGGGTTCGAATCCTAGTTGGGGGACTAAGATTCCACATGCCGCATGGTGTGGCCAAAAAAGAAAAGAAAAAAGGATTCCAGGACTCCCCTGGTGGTTCAGTCATGGAGAATCTGCCTGCCAAGGTAGGAGACACGGATTCGATCCCTGATCCGGGAAGATTCCACATTGCCACGGAGGGACTAAGCAGGTGCACCTCAAATACTGAAGCTGCACTCTGGAGCCCAGGAGCCGCTATTGAGTCCATGTGCCACATCTACTGAAGTCTGCGAGCCCTAGAGCCTTCGCTCGGCAGCAAGAGAAGTCACCCCAATGAGAACCCTGAGCACCTCGACTAGAGAGCAGCCCCTGCTCACTGCAACTAAAGAAACCTGCACAGCGACAAAGGCCAGGGACAGCCATGAATAAATTAATAAATATCAAATTAAAAAAAAAAAGAATTCCAATCCTGGAGTGGTTCTCACGCACAATCTTTTTTTTTTCTTGTTCTTCATCTTTATGTATTTTTTAAAATTAATTAATTTAATTGGAGGCTAATTACTTTACAATATTGTAGTGGTTTTTGCCACACATTGACATGAATCAGCCATGGGTGTACATGTGTCCCCCATCCTGAACCCCCCTCCTACCTCCCTCCCCATCCCATCCCTCAGGGTTGTCCCAGTGCACTGGCTTTGAAATGCACACTCACTCTTGAAAACGGTTGTGCTTCATGGAAAAACATATGCTCTCTAGAGGACACCTCTCCAAGTTAGCTGACGAGTTTTCCATCATCTTTGAACAACATTACAGTCTGTGGATTGTGGGCTGTTGATAACCAGGCAAATCAGGCCCTGGCTGTGACTTCCCTCCTGCCTAGGGAAAAACCCATTTTGCCCCATTTAATTCATTTTCAGAGTCCTTTCCCTGGATGAGTGTGTGCTTCTGCACTTCTGTTTTGAATCAGTTATTACATCTGCCTGGTTTTCTCATGAGTGGAATAAAATCTGTAACACATTCTCATGTTTCATACCCATATGAGAGTTATGATTTTGCCTTTTGCTGAAAACAATTTTTTAATTGTTTTTTTATTATGGAAAAAGTCACATAATATGGGCTTCCCTGATAGCTCAGTCAGTAAAGAATCCACCTGCAATGCAGGAGACCTCAGTTCAATTCCTGGGTCAGGAAGATCCGCTGGAGAAGGGAAGGGAATACCCACTCCAGTATTCTGGCCTGGAGAATTCCATGGACTGTATAGCCCATGGGATCACAAAGAGTTGGATACGACTGAGCGACTTTCACTTTCACAAAGTATAAAGAATACTACTTTCAGAATATTTAACTGTACACTTTAGTGGCACTAAATACATTCACATTGTTGTGAAACTCCCACCATCTTCCATCTCCCAGATTTTTCACCTTCCTAAACTGAAACTGTCCCCACTAAACATTAACTCCCCACTTCCCCTTCTCCCCACCCCCAGCCCTGACATCTACCAATGTACTTTCCGGTACTAAAGTGAGAGTGTTACTCTGACCATGAAATTCTCCAGGCCCAAATACTGGAGTGGGTCGCCATTCTCTTTTCCAGGCCATCTTCCAGACCCAGGGATCGAACCCAGGTCTCCAGCATGGCAGGCAGATTCTCTACCTTCTGGGCCATCAGGGAAGCCCTTCTGGCACTATGAATTTGACTATTCCAAATACCTTATATAAGTGGAATCAAATAGTATTTGTCTGCACCTAATGTATACTGGAATGTATTTTTTAAGTTAATATATGTCCTACAAACAGATTGTACCTTCTTTCTTCCCACTGCTGCTTCCCACTGCACAGGTTCTTGTTAGTTATCTGTTTTATTTATAGTAGTATAGCTATGTCAATCCCAGTCTCCCAATTTATCCCACCCCCGCTTTCCCCTCTTGGTGTCTATATGTTTGTTCTCCAGGTCTGTGCCTCTATTTCTGCTTTGAAAACCATCTTTTTAAAAAGTGATTTATTTTTGGCTGTGCTGGGTCTTCATTGCTGCGAGGGCTTCTCGCTAGCTGTAGCGAGTAGGGGCTGCTCTCCAGTTGCAGTGGGCAGGCTTCTCATTGTGGTGGCTTCTCCTGTTGCGGGCAGGGCCTCAGGGCACTCGGGCTTCCGCAGCTGTGACACGTGGCTCAGCAGCTGTGGCTCATGGGTTCTAGAGCACAGGCTTAACGGCTGTGGCACAGAGGCTTAGCTGCACTGCGGCATGGGGGGTCTTCCAGTGTCAGGGATCAAACCCGTGTCTCCTGCATTGGCAGGTGGATTCTTTACCACTGAGCCACAGGGAAGCCCTGAAAATAATCTTTTAACAAGTCATATCTGCATGGGAGGTCCCACACATCCTATGGGCTGGTGTATAAAGAAGATTAATGTCAAAAACCTTTGCTTAAGCAGGAGAGAAAAAGGAGATTTTGCTGAGCACAAACATCGTGATATGTGAAAAACTTTTGGATAGCCAGTTTCCATGAAAATTCATACTTCTCTGGATCTCCCATTGGGCCCAGGCACAGACAGAGAAGCACATTGGCCTGGAATCTGAGAACCAGGAAGTGAGAATGCTGAATGAACCCGCCCCTACCAACTGGCTTTGAGAACTCCAAGTTCGACCCACCCCTAAGGTGATGAGAGGGACAGGCTGTATACAGCAGCTCAGCTGGTGCCCAGGAGCTCAACTAGATCTCCACGCTCTGGGGAAGCCAGAAAAAACACTGATAGCCAGTGTCTTCTGCAAAACAGAGGTGAGGTGAAAGAGACACTACATTTAGGCAAATCCACGCTGTGGGTAAGAAAGCCCCTTCCCACTGTGCAGGGCATTTGCCTGGCATCGCAAACAGGCACCAGGATGTCGGGGGACTGCCTATGCCAAGTACACAGGCGAACCGAGGGCCAAGTGTCAGGTAAGGCGAAGAGCTATGAGTGGACATGGGTCTATAAAGAACATGTTTATTATGGAGTTGGTGTTTGAGCACTTACAGGTTAGGTGCGCAGAGATAGACAAGAGACCGGATCAGTACTAAGAGAATTTTCTCTCCTTGCTTCTAGTCCATCCACTGGAATAGTACAATGAGTTACAGTATCATGTTTGCACCTTTTTCATCCTCCCTGGGGAAGGCAATTCAAACATCTATTGGCACATCACCTGGGTGAAAACCAAGAACTTTAGGGGAAGAATTGGACTCTGTGCATTCGGGGAGTGCACGCTGTGATGACTAAGCAGGGAACCTAGGTCCCAGGTTCTTCAAAGCCCTGTTGTTCCAAGCTCCACCTCTCCCACTTTGACTGCACTGTTCGACCTTACTGCCAGCAGTCATTTTAAAAATGGAAAATCCACAGTACTTTAGGAAGGGTGGCGTCTCTGAATTTTCTGTTTTCTACCACTGATCTTGATATTATTCCTCCGAGTTGTACCTTTTCCCCATGTCCTGTGGTTTTGTGCTTTTCATATCGAGGCTCAGAGACACTGCTGTGCAGTAAGAATACAGTCTATGGGTCAGTTGGATCCAGTCCCCCAAGCCAGTGGCTCACTTCGTGATCTTGGGCAAGCTGCCCCTGCACAGAGGCAGTTTCCTTGAGGGTAAAATGAGATGGATAATACAGTGTTCCACTCCTGGGGTGGCTGTGAGGGTTGCATTCATGCATGCGAAGCACCCCACGTTGCATGAGAAGCAGTGAAGACTGAACAGAATGGCTGCACATCAGTGGTTCTCAATGTGGCCACACACCGGAATAACCTGTGGTAAAGAATACCCATGCATGGAAATTAGCTCTCCATGGAGATTCAGGCTTGACTCGTCGAGGTGTAGCCTGAGCATCAGGATGTTTTAAAGCTTCCCAGATGATTCGAATGGGCACCCAAGATTGAGAGCCACCCTCCAAAATAACTCGGGAAACAAGGTGTTCTGAGAGCTCCCGTCCAAAGGTGCACAGTCTCTCAGAGGAAGATGGCTAGGGGTGTCAAGCCTGAATGGGTGCCCTGTGTTTTTCTTGTAAAACTCACATTGAAGATGGAGGCTGTGCAAGGCCCTTCTGGTCCAGGTACTTGTCCAGGGTCCCCCAGGGTTTGCGACCTGATGAAAGTGAGGTTCCATGTAACGTGTGTATGTTTCTCATTAAAGTTCCACATTCAGAAATCGGCTTCAGAGACAGCAGGAAAAGAAGGTGAACTTGTTTGCATAGAAGGAGTTTCTCTTCCTTCAAGCCACGCCAGCCTCTAAGCCCTCATAAGGCAGAGAAGGCAGCTCCCTTCCCTGGCACACTCTGGAAGACTCTGCGTTCACCAGCGTGGCTCATTTTTAAGACAAAAGGGTGCACACCGTGACCAGGAGATCTGAGCAGTTAAACTGTTTGCTGTCTACATCAGAGCCCCATGACATGTAGAAATTCCCTGCAAGACCGGACCCACCAACATGAGGCCTTGCCCAAGGAGACTCTGTCATCTGGCCCAATCTGTCCAGGGGCCGTTGCTTTTGGCTGTGCTCATCTTCTTCCTCTTCACCTTGCCCTCCTTTATTAAGGAACCTAACACGAAGCCTAGCAGGTAAGAGTCTGCCCTTTCCAAGTTCCCTGTGGTTTATTAGAAGAAACGAAAATGATAGCCCGGGGAGGATGAGGGACACCTGAGACACCTCTATGGTGACAGGCGATGTCAGGGATCACTAAGGTTGTCAGGAATCATGGGCGAGGAAGCTGGAAAGGGAGACTTGGGGGGACACGGAGGTGGCATAACAGGGAAATGGGGGGCCATGGGGCTTATACACAGAGGAGGTAGAGGCAGGAGTTGGAGAACTATTGGTCGGGTCTCCAGGAGGCATAGGTGGAAAACTAGACTATTTTCCCCTCTAGGTCTGTGAGTAATAACCTCAGTTTTGGGGTTCATTACATGCCATTCTCTGTGTACTAAAGCAAATGATTTATCCCATGAATTCCATTAATTTCTTTATATATATATATAAAGAAATATATATATTATATACTATACAATATATATTATATATATATTATACAATATATATTATATTATATATATATATATTTCTTTAAGCTCAGGGTTCCTCTCGAGTTGCAATGGACCTCAGCTAACCTCTCCTGTTGACTCAGGGAAGTCAGGCCTCCTTTCGAGTTGCAAGGGCACCTCGGAATTCCTCTTGAATCGCTGCAGGGGAATAGGGCTTCATCTCGTGTTGAGGTGGGAAACTGGGGGTTCCTCTTCAGTTGCGACAGGGATCTCCTGGTTCCTACGGAGTATCAACATGGGATTCAGGCCTCGTCTCATGTTGCAGCATGGAACTCCATTTTCCTCTCGAGTTGTCAAAGGAGTGTCAGGCCTCTTGTCGAGCTCAGGCGGGGAACTTGAGCTTTTTCTAGAGGTGCAACAGGGGAGTCAGACCTCCATTCGTGTTGTGCAGGCCAACTCGGCGATCCATTCGAGTCGCTGCAGGGGAATCAGGCCTTATCTTGAGTTGAGGGTGGAGTCGGTGTATATATATATATTTCTTTCTTAAAAAAGGAAAATGTTCATTTATTTGGCTGCACCAAGTCTTAGTTGCAGCACATGAGCTATTTAGTTGAGGCATGTGGGATCTAGTTGCCTGAAAGTGAAAGTGTTAGTTGCTCAGTCATGTCCAACTCTTCTGACCTTATGGACTGTAGCCCACTTGGCTCCTCTGTCCATGGAATTCTCCAGGCAAGGATACTAGAGTTGGTTACTATCTCCTTCTCCAGGGTATCTTCCCAACCCAGGAATCAAACCTGGGTCTCCTGCACTTCAGTTAGATTCTTTACTGTTCCCTGACCAGGAATCAAACCTGAGCCCCCTACATTGGGAATTTGGAGTTTTAGCCATTGGTCCAGCAGGGAAGTCTCCCATTAATTTCTAAATCATACAGTCTCTGAGGTGTTTGTCAGTAAAATGAGACATTGCTCATTTAGGGGGGCAGCTGAAATTCTGGGTCCCAAGTGAATCCTTCAAAAGGACACTCTAGGCCATTTTCCTAACAAACACATCTCCTGCAGGGAGAGACCCCTACCTTTCCAGATTCAGTGTATTTTGAATGATTTTGTCTCACTACTCTTAGAATTTGAAAATAAAACATACCCTCATGAAGTTTTAAAAAATACATCAAGACAAAGCAAGAATAAAGGTCTCCCTATGATACCCCATCACTACCCAGTCTCTACGGATAACCACCCTTAACACTTCAGTGTAGTGAAAGTCTCTTAGTCGTGTCTGGCTCTTTGTGACCCCATGGACTGTATAGTCATCCATGGAATTCTCCAGGCCAGAATACTGGAGTGGATAGCCTTTCCCTTCTCCAGGGGATCTTCCCAACCCAGGGATCAAACCCAGGTCTCCTGCATTGCAGGCAGATTCTTTACTTGCTGAGCCACAAGGGAAGCCCAACACTTCAGTGTAGAAATAATTACTATGTTATTGTAGCTAATGCTTCTATAGTACTCAGTATATGCCAGGCACTATTCTAAATGCTTTATGTGTATTAACTTACTAATGCTTATATGAGTATTCTGAGACACAGAAAGTTTAGATGAATGATCCAAGTTCATTCTGCTGGTAGTTGCAGGGCCAGCAAGCAAACCCAGACATTTTGGTTCCATAATCTGTGCTAGACAACCCTTACAACAGATGGATAAGTAGGTAGATAGGTAGGTGATACTCAGCAGTAAAGAATTCACCTGCCATTGCTGGAGACATGGGTTCAACTCCTGGGTCAGGAAGATCCCCTAGAGAAGGAAACGGCAACCCACTCCAGTATTCTTGCCTGGGAAATCCCATGGACAGAGGAACTTGACAGGCTGTAGTCCATTGGGTCTCAAAGAGTTAGGTACGACTTAGCGACTAAACAACAATAAACAACAAAGGTAGGTGATAGGTAGGTAGATAGATAAACAGGTGGATAGATGGGTGAACAGACAGACGGACAGATAGGTGTCACACTATACACATTGATCGACTTTTTTAATCAAATATATCATGGACCTCCTTCCATGTTGGCACATACAGGTCTATTCCCTTCCTTTTCATGGCTGCATAGCTTCTATAGAATGGATACAGCTTAGCCAACCACATCTATGGGCACTTGGGTTGCCACTCATTTTTCACATACCTTTGGGCACTTATGTATTTCCGTAGGTAGATTTCTAGAAGTGGAATTGCCAAGATAATGAATATGTTCACATTAAATGTCAATGGAAGGACTTCCTGGTGGTCCAGTGGTTAAGATTTTGCCTTCCAATGTTGGGGGGTGCAGGTTCAATCCCTGCTCAGGGAGATAGGATCCCACATGCCTTGCAGCCAAAAAGCCAAAAATATAAAAAACAGAAACAACATCGTAATAAATTCGATAAAAACTTTAGAATGGTCTACATAAAAAAAAATCTTTAAAAAAGTCAATGGACACCATCAAGTCATCCTCAGAAAAGGCTACACAAACAGGTGTGAAAGTTAACTCTCTCTCCAACCTCTGCGGCAACACTGGATCTTGTGAATGGTTTTCAAGTTTAATCATCTGATAAGTAAAAGCGTGTTTCTCTTTTTAATTTGCATTTCTCGGGCTACTGGTGAATCTGAGGATCCTCTAAAGTTTATAAATCATTTCATTGTATGAATATACCACACATTATTTACTCATTCTCTTTTTGATGGACATTTGGGTAGTTTCTAGTTCTGGCTATTATGAATTAAGAGTAAACCTGCTGTGAACATTGTTGTACAAACCTTTTTTGTGTACATAGTTTTATTTCTCTTGGGTCAATATCTTGAGGTGGGATTGCTGTGTAATAAGGAAAGTATATGTTTAACTTTATTTTTTTATACTTTTATTTATTTGGCTGCATGAGGTCTTAGTTGCAGCTCGAGGGATCTTTTTAGTTGTGGCACATTAGATACAGTTCCCTGACCAGAGATCAAACTCAGGTCCCCTGCATTGAGAGCATGGACCACCTGGAACCACCAGGGAAGTCCTTAAGTTTAGTTTTAAAAGAAAAGTTGTTGAGTTATTTCCAAAACAGTTATGAATTTTTCTATTTCTCCCTTCGGGTTTCACTGGTGGCTCAGTGGTAAAGGATCTGCCTGCCAAGCAGGAGATGCAGGTTCAATTCCTAGGTTGGGAAGATCCCCTGGAGATGGAAATGGCAACAATCCAGTATTCTGGCCCCGGAAATCCCATGGACAGAGGACCATACAAGAGACAGCGAGGGGTTGGACATGACTTAGCGACTAAACAATATTTCTCCCTTCTGTTTTGTCAGTTCTTGTTTCATGTCTTTTGAAGCTCTATGATTTGATGTACATGCATTTTGGATGGTCCTGACTTTGAAAGTGACTGTAAAGTTATTGAATCTGCCCACAATTTTAAGGGATAGGAAATAGGCCACATACTGAGATATCTCGATAAACTGTTTATATTATTACATTCCAAGAGAGCAGAGACAGTGGACGCCATAACAATAGTGGTCCCCAGAGGAGAAGATTTTGTGTCTGTTGAAAGGTTCAAAGAGAAGATGGCACCTAGGATACAGAGAGGGCTTGTGTGAGTGCCTGGGGAAAGACGTGTAGTGAGCAAAGGATAAACAAGGGCGCCAGCCTAAGTCCTAAATTAGTGTCCTCTCTGCTGACCTGAGAGTGAATCCACCTCAGGGAAGTGAAGGTTTCCTCTGGGTTGCAGAGAAAGGGCATTTAGGAAGGTGGGACCCAGCGCTGCTGCAAAAGGCTTTCAGCCAGGGAGGCAGCCTTGCCTCGTGACAGAGCTATTTTAAGACGATGAGTTGGCCAGGAGTGAACAGGACGGTTTAGGAGGAGGGAGTTGCCACTTTGGGTTGACCAGCAGTGGCACCCAAAGAAGTTGGACGACTCAATAGGCGGATTATCCTGGTGTGAAGGGAGGGGCTAGGGCCACCTTTAGCCATTAAAACTCAAGGTGAGAAGGATCTAGACTAAGAGACAGAGGAACAGCAAGAAGGGGGAAATCAGGAGATATTCTGAAGGAGAGGAGGGAGAGACAGGGAGAGGCAAAAGTGATGGGTGGTATTGCAGTTTGACTGGTCATGCCCTCCCTTCCCTGCGGAGCTGCCTGGGCAGAGGGTGGGTGCAAAATCAGAAAGGGAAGGGAGGTGCACAGTATAGAACACACCTGTAGATCCCCGTGGTTTATGAAGGTCATTATCGCATGACTGAATGCTGATGCTGAAGCTGAAACTCCAATACTTTGGTCACCTGATGCAAAGAACTGACTCATTGGAAATGACCCTGATGCTGGGAAAGATTGAAGGCAGGAGAAGAAGGGGACAACAGAGGATGAGATGGTTGGATGGCATCACCGACTCGATGGACATGAGTATGAGCAAGTTCTGGGAACTGGTGATGGACAAGGAAGCCTGGCGCGCTGCAGTCCATGGGGTTGCAAAGAGTCGGACACATCTGAGCGATTGAACTGAACTGAACTGAACTGATCGCATTGATGTTTACACTTTGTGACTTGCCATGATCATTTGAGAGTCGGAGAAGATTTTCAGATCTTAATC